CTCACATTCTATCACGTGTCAGCAATATTTGCTGTTACTTGCGGCGGTCGTAAGATCTGAGATGAATCGTCGAACCTCGCAAGGCTTGTTTTCTTTCGTCCGATATCATTAGCACTCTTTGCATTGCATGCCAGTTGGCATCGCTGTTTGGAACTGAGCCAATGCGGCGCAGTTATCAATGTCATGGGAGGGCGTACGAGACTGGTGGTGCCGTTGTCGCTGCGATCGATCGATCAACGCGACCATGTCGTCGTCCTATCGCTTTTTCATGCGATTTTCCGCATCTATTGCGTGGATTTTTTCATAATTGAAGTAGTACAATTCAGCAGTGAAATGACCCATAAGCATAGAGAACCAGCTACATGAAAAGATATGGTTACGTCAAAATTAGAAGCTTGACCTAAGGAGAGTGAAAGAAGTGGGAGTGAGGGGGTCACTGAGCTTGAACAGGACTCCAACAATTACGGTACTCGTAGCCGACCACCCTGACGAGTTCGCACCCGCCAGGGAGCACTGCCACGGCTGCATTTTGCGCCCCATCCCTCAACGTCTCCTAGTCCTTCTCGCCGATCTCTCGTCTCTTTCTCGCGCCACGTAGCACTCCATCCACAGTCGCTCCCTCATCTGCGCTCTCGTTTCCACGTGCGTTTTCGTGCCGGGCGACCGCCCCCAAGTTGGCGGGCGCCATTTTCCGACTTGGCTTCTTTCTCGCGTCGCGGTCGGGTGGTGTTTGTTATTGTTTGTTGTTGTTTTGGCGTCAGTATTGGTGCAACACTATGTTCATGCACCCACCGCTGCTTCCACCCGTCACCTTCATCCCTACGCATATCCCTCCACCACCACCTCCGCCTCCAGTAACCTCTCTGCCAAGACATTTGTTATTTCCGCCAATACCACTGCCATTTTATATTCGACCGCCACAGTCACAGCCGATTATTGCTAATCAGACAACGAGACCTATGTCGCCTCTGCCATTTACTCTACCTCTAACGATAACTCCATTGAAGTCTGACAAGAATATGCGACGAAGGAGTAGTGGATCATCTGCGCAGTCAATGAGCTGTGCTGCAAGCACAAGTTCAGCTTCAAATTGTGAAGCGGTGAGGATTTGAAGCGTTAAAATGGTTTTTTT